TTGCGCCTCCTCAGTAGGGGTTTTGAACCCATTACAGGTCCTCTAACCACCACCAAGAACCTCTACAGTCTCCTTAAGGCATCTCATCCCCTCACACTGACCTGATCCAATGCAAACACATGCAGTCCATAGGAAGCACACTTTGTTTTATTGCTAGATTCAGCTAATCTCGCCGAAGGGCTCACACTCCTCCTCCTCCCTCTTCTTCTTCGCCCCTCAGTGTTTTAGTTGTTCCAGCTGTGAAGGAGCTTTTAATATTGTTGGCATAGCTGCGCGACGTGCAAAACACACATTGTGCATACAGGAAAACATGTGCAGGCACGCAGGGGCGCAGTGAGTTGCACACGGACGCATGCATGCATACGTGAACACTCGTACACACGTGCACGTATAGTCTCAGTCTCACACTCCTCCCTTTCTCCATTCATTTTCTCCCTTATCCCACTTTTGCTCACAATCTCCCTCAATCGTCTCCATCTCCCATCTCTCCCCTCTAACTCGCTGCGCCGCGGTGCGTTTGTGCAGTGTTGATAAGCCTAAGATAGCAGATCTCGGTGGTCGCTGATGTAATGATGATGAATGCTGCGGTGCTGCCAGTCTCCCCCTCGGGGGGCCCTCGACACTGAACAGTCGCCCTAATGAAATGAACACAAATACAGTACCCTGTCTGGGAGGGGGGGGGGGTTGCCAAATCTAAGAAGACACTTCAAGAGTTTATATATAAATGTCCTCCAGTTTCTGATTGTGTGCGTGCGTGTGTGTGTGCGTGTGCCATGCAATTGCAAATGTGTTCCTGATGAGAGCACGCAGGTACACCTAAAGCAGCTTTATAAAATTAAACTTGTGAAGTTGCAGGCTTTAAATAACAAACAGCGGTGATTTTTTGATAGCATTAGTGCTCGTTTAAGCCTGCGTGAAAGAAAGCAAACAGTTTTTTTTTCTATCAAAGGCAAAAGTTTATTTTAGTGTTTCACTTTGATGTGTACAATTTGCAGATGACTTTCAACTCAGTGCCTTTTTCACCGAAGCGTATAATTTATGTTAAATTGATTTGCTTAATGTGCTTATAAAATAAGATTTTTTTTTCCTTTTTTTTCAGAGGGAACACTTTGAATTGTGGTATTTTAAACCTGTTTAATCGCCTCCCTTTCTGTGCGGAGGGATTACAGTTGAACGCAAATAATGATACACCCTCGTTTTTCTAATTGGGTGTAGGACATTTCAATGGCAGAAACATTAATGTGAAATTAAGATTTATTCTGACTAACAACGGCATCCAGCGCCTACTTGTGAGTCATTCTGTATGTGCCAGGGATCTGTGGAGACAACTGTGGGGCTGTAAGAAAGTCCATGTACAGGTGATTATCTCTGTGATGCACAGTGTAAATGTAGCAACGTGATTTCTTGCGAGGGGGTCAAATGGCCAAATGGCAAATTAAAACTTCTTTTGACATTTTACGTTAAGGGAAAAAAAAAAGCTGTAAATTTTCTCTAAACATAGACTGATGTGTCTATGTGAGGGTATGATTTTGAGTGTTTGTGGATGGGGTAAAAATGAGCAAGCACAAAAAACGAGGGCACAGACAGCAACATCTGCACGACTGGGTGTGGGCGTCCAGGTCAGAGGGATTATGGGTGAAAAGGTCCTGCTTTTAATTGCTGCTTTGGAACTGTGGCCTGCCTTGTGGAGCACAAAAGGCCCGTCAGACACGCTTCAGTGGCTTGGACTTGTGAATATTTGCCCGACCAGTGGAATGCCCCGCTTTCTCCTCAGCCACCCCCCTTCTGGTATGATCCCCAATCCAGAACCTCATATTTGCTGCACTTTCAGCTCATTTGCTTTGGTCTGACTCACCTGGGGTGTGATAGGAATACACACATGTTTATGTGAGCTAGGCACACGAGCATGTCGGGAGCTCAGGACTCCTCTTCTTCTTTTCTCCTTCACTGATTTTACCCAAGTTCAGCTGTACAGATGATGTAATGACAGTTTCACCGGGGCAATGGTGAAGTTTTCTCTCACCGTGCTCTTGTTTGACTTTATGCTGATGAAGTCAAAGAGTGGCACCCACGAACTTAATATGAATGCACAGTGCCACGAAAAAGTACTTGCCCCTTCCTGATGTCTTTTGCACAGTTCTCACACTTAAATGTTTCAGATCAACAAACAAATTTTATATTCGACAAAGATAACCTGAGTAAATACAAAATACTGTTTTTTCTGTCCAAACCTACCTGAGCTTATGTGAAAAAGTAATTATCTCACTTTGTTAAATCACGAATTAAGTGAAATTAACCAAATTTTTTAGAAAGAAAGACTTCAAATTCACTAGCCAGTCTCAGACCTGATTAACCCCACACCTGTTGATCAAGAACTAGGCAAGGCAAGGCAAATTTATTTGTATAGCACAATTCATCAACAAGGTGATTCAAAGTGCTTTACAGAGACATTAGAAACAAAAACAAATAAAAAGCATGATTTAAAATTGATTAAAACAAGCAAACAAACAAACTAACTAATTTAAACAGAACCTGTGTGAGAAAGTAAAGTTGTTTAAACGATCTCAAAAATCTCAAGTATACTTCACAAATGAAGAAAACTTGAAACGATGGTGAAACCTACCAAAATTGAATATCGATGACTCAACCAGGAGGTCACAAAAGAACCAAGAACAACATCTAACAAACTGCAGGCCTCACCTCTCTCAGTTAAGGTCAAAGTTCATGATTCAATAAGAAAGAAACTGGGGAAAAATGGCATCCATGGGAGATTCCAGAGAAACAACCACTGCTGACAAAAACAAACACGAAGTCTGCCAAAAACATCTTGATGATTTCCAAGAATGCTGAACTTGTTGGAAGGTTTTGATTCCACTCCATTTGGGATCAAACTAACACAGCATTTAATAAAAAATATTATCACACCAACAATCAAACATGGTGGTGGTAGTGTGATGGCCCGGTGCTGCTTTGCTGCTTCAGGACTTCCTGTAATTGATGGAAACATGGATTCTGCTCCCGGAGAATATCCGGCCAGCAGTTTGTGTCTCGAAAGCTCAAGAGCATTTAGATTAGTCCACCTTTGAATATCACAAAAAAACAAACAAAAAAACAGAACAAAATGAAGGTTTTGGAGTGACCTCAGGAGAGTTTGAGTTAAATCAGATTGAGATCCTTTGGCACAACCTCAAAACGAGCTGTTCATGCTCAAAACCCTCTAATGTGGCTGATTAAAACAATTCTACAAAGAACAGCGGACCAAAATTACTCCACGGTGATGTGAAAGACTCATTGCCAGTTAACGTAATTCTTGATTGCAGTTCTTGCTGCCAAGGGTGGCACAACCAGTTATTAGGTTTAGGGGGCAATTACTTTTTCACACAGAGCCAGTTTGGTTTGGATAAAATCATCATCATCTAAAACCTGAATTTTTACTCAAGTTACTTAATATAAAACGTTGCTTGACGATCTGAAACACATAAGTGTGACGAATATGCAAAGAACTAAGAAATCAGGAAAGAGGAACATACCTTGTCATAGCACTGTACATGTATTGCACACGCTCTAATGATTATAACTCGCTCAGGCTGCTTAACCCCCACCCCAGAAATGAAAGCATTCACTCTATCAAACACATGCAGCAGTGATTTGAGATGATATCAGTTCAAGTAGGACAAAAATGTCTTTGGTTGGAGATGACGGCTACGCATGTATTCATGTGGGAGTGATTAGAGGACAAGCTCTTGTTTAATTCTGTTTTGATTGGTAGTGGTGTAATTGCATTGTGTTTTTTTTTCCTCTCCTTTTTTTTGTAAGGCAGCAATTGCTTACAGATGTTGTTGTCGGGTCAGAATGGATGACAGACTCTGGTTTTTCAGGGGGTGGGGAAAAAAACAAACAAAGCGCACAGTGTTTGTCTGAAGTTTACCCCTCACCACTTCCCCCTTGCCTTCCTTCCTTGGGGAGTTGGTAAAAATCAGCTCGCCCCCCTCTTTCTTTGAGCAGCACTACTCTCTTTGCATCACAGCTGACTTTACTGCCTTTGTATCCATGCGTGTTTACAGAGAGGAGGACAATTAAATAGTACAGTTGGGTAATTAGCTGCTCTTTATTGTAAAGAAAATCAGTCAGACTAAATATTTCCAGTAATTATCCAAGAATTACGGGGTCTAAGTAAAGGCTTTGTAACGGACCAAATGAAACTGTCCTATACTTTGTGTAAATGAGTGGTTGTGGTGTATCACCATGTTGTCTCCATAATCAGAGACCTCCATGACCTAGATACAGTTGAGCTTGTAGACAGCCTCTGAGGTGCTGAACTGAGCAGCATGTCTGCTAGACTGTTGGCTGAACCCCTTCTAAACCCACAGACAGTATTAACTTGAACCACCTTTATTCTTTGAAAGAAAAATTGCCCGGCACCATGATATTCCCAAAAGGGCCTTCAAACAACCCTTGTTTTTTCAGGACTGTGAATGTTTCTCTCTCTGTGGTATCCCCTTAAGGTTTCTCCTTTCTCTTTGGAAAGACTGCTAGAGTGGGATTATCAGTATATCCACAAGCTGCCTTTACTTCTATTCTGAGATATAAAACCTAGTCGGGATGTCCTGCCGCACTCTGTTTATAGAGTTGTTGTGTTTTTGACAAGATGTCAGAAGTTTAGCGTGACAGCTGAAAACAGTCGCACTAAATTTTGGTTTTGGATATTTAACCACAGTTAGCGAGGAAGGAAATCAGGCCCCTGACAAGCAGATCAGAGCCCAGCAGGTTTGAGTTAAAATAAATCAGTGTGAGCTCCTGGATTGACCCTCAGTGTGCTCTGGGCACCATGAAAAGGGAGGACTGGATCTGAAGTTTTCCTCACAGGGTTCACAGTCTATTTCTGAAGCATTCTACAGATAACATTAGAAAAAGTAAACTTATTGCTAACTTATTAATCTTCTAAATATATACTTAATCTTTGCATTCACCGGGTTTATCTTCTGTTTTTTCTCCATTAGTTATCCCGTCTCCATGAGGTCTTGAGGAATGAACAATCGTCATGGAAACCCAGTCCCAGGCCAGTTCAGCAGCTGAGAAGAAGAAGAGGGTGGAGACCATCGTGGCTACCAAGGGCTCATTAGCACGAAGTGACATCAGTGAGAAAGCAGTGGCCTCCAGCACCACCTCAAACGGTACAAGTCACCTCTAACTGAGCTGCAGTAATTTATGCCAATAACCTTTTGATCTTTCGTAATATAGCCACAAGCCGCCCCATTAGTCAGATTACTCTTTGAGTAATAAAAGTCCACAATTGAAGGAATGCAATGCACACACCTTACATTAAGGTGTTGTTTTTTCAGCTGGGACGACTGAAAATAAAAAGTGCATTCAGGTTAACCAGATCAGATAACAAATGCTATCCTAATGTGTGCATGAACATACTACTGAATGAAAATTTCCTATCCATTTTCATGTTTTATTTTGCTAGAGTCACAAAAGCTTTTGTTATTCAGCATTTTTCGGTCAGATGAATTTCAGACCTCTGTGAGTTTGGTTACAATATGTCACTTCCTGGCTGAAAAATTAAGTGCCAAAGCCTGCAGTTCCAAAAATAGCCACCAGCTCCAAACTGTAACTGGTTTACAGTTGTCTTAGACTTACAAGACTGGGTTTTACAGCAGAAATATGGATATGTACTTGGGAAAAGAGAAATTTAGTAGTTGGTTCTCAATAATAAATTTGATGCCCCGGTAAAGGTAAAAAAACAAAACAAACAACCCCAAAATGATTGATGAACTTAAATATAAACTTCCTTATTAAGAAGTCATTTAAGTCATAGGCATAGTGTGGCAGTGCATATACTTAAAATGGACTGCTGCTGACAGGCAGCCTCATTACATACACTACACTTAAAGAAACAAGAACCTCTGAATGTTTGTATCAAAAGGTACTGCAAGCGTTGGGTTTGGTTCTAATTGTGTCACGGCCTAACATTTTGAATACTTATACTGGGATTATGCTTTCCGCATCCACAAGTTCACTAGGATCCAATAGGATCCACTTGGGTCTGCATGATGTACATTTCATCATCAGATAGTTAGCATGAGGGTCTGTGAAGATGTCTGTTTTTTATGACCTTGCAGACTTGTCAGCAAAATTTACATTACAATGCATGCGCCGCAGGAAGTGAAGTGCTACAGGAATGATGTTTTAAGGCTGTAAAACCCCTCACTACACACTTTATAAACTTTTCTCAGACAGGCATGAACATTTTCACGCTTTTCTCTCTTGTTTAAATACTCTCAAAATTCAAACCTTCGTAGAAAAAAAGGTCCAGTATTATAGTCTGAAACCAAAGGCACCCGCAGCTGCCTTTGACGGTGCAAAACCTTTGGATGACTTTTGTTTTTACTCCCATATTTGATTCCTTTACCACTTTCCCACTAGGCCACTATGTAACCGCTACCTGTCTGCTAGTCATAAATGAAGCTACTTGTACTAACAGGCCAACAAAGTAGTCAGTGTTCCAGTTTTTATGCATGTATTTTATTTGTATCTAACTTAGCATTAGTTAGCAGGTATCTGTTTCTGTGTGATGCATCCTTTCAGGCAATGGATGCACTTTGCTAACAAGCTAGCTTGTACTAGCTAATAACAAAGACATACGATCACATATTGGTCCATGAAATCACAACAATGACTGCTGCAAGGTCACAATAAAGTCCACAAAGGGTGACGTGATGGTGTCTACATCCATCTTCTATCTACAGTCTATATGTATCAGCGACCATCACTCAACATGTTCGAGCTGTAGGGCCACTGAACTAACCAGCAGTCCAACGAGTATTATAGGACTTAAACGACCATCTAAAGATTTAGACACCCACTGTTTTTTTGACATAACTCTTTCTTTATTTTCATGGCTAACAGTGAGTCAAATACAATGCTCACTGGTAGCAACTTTGACATGTTTACTTAGCAATGTCTTCAACACTTGCTATTAAAAGCTGCACGGAGCTTGCGCTTAATTAAGCTTGTCGTCATTCAGCCTTTCATTCCCAGTTCTGAGCCTTGGAGTAGAAATATTAGACTTTTTCTTTTGTTCAAATGAAAGTCATAACAAAATCGGAGCTGAGATCACCATGGCCTAAGCTGCAGCTGCGCTCATTAGCAGTGAGAGGATTTGGAAGGTTTTTGGGGGTATGGAGATTTGACTCTCGGAGGCAGAGCTGGTGGCCTGATAGAGTGTTTTGTGACTTCCTCTTCATTCTGCTGATGTCAAACATGATCATTCCAAGTGTGAACGGAAGACAAACAGTCTAGGAAGGGGTAAATAAGTCGCTGTGACTTGCTCTCCATATGGAAGTTATCACAGGAAGTAGGTAAGCTAATGCATCCTGAAGCATCTTGGGAACACTCTCACTCTTACTCATTCCCAGATGGCTGGCTCTGTTTCATTCATTAAAGGGACAGTAAGAAAAAGTTTACTACGGAAAAAGCATGGCTGTAATTTGGAACCGTGATTGTGGATTTTTCTTAGTAATGTGCTGATAATTACAGCTCTAAACGGCGCAAGCTTTGTCTGAAAAATCTCCCGTTTGCCACGTCAGAGGGCGTGCTACGACTTTGCACTCCCTAAAATACAGTAGTCCCATAACTCACTTGACGAGGGGAGGGATGATACTTGTCTGTAGAGAAAGGTCCCTTTTAGATCTCAATCTCTCTCTTTGAATCATAAGATAGCTTACACATTCTTTGTGTGGTTATAATTACAGCACATTCCCCATTCGGCCCCAGAACTCATAACCTCTTATCAGGTGTAACCCTACACTCGCCTCAACTTTAACCCTCGTAGCCCCTGCCCCAATGCATCCATCCAAACAAAAGGTAATTGTGAGCAGCTGTGGAACCCCAGTGACTGGTTCATCTTATGAAGGGCCGGCAAAATATTTCCCCCCATCAGGCAGAGTAGCAGCCCCTGATCTCAGCACAGCAGAAACCCCCACGGAGTGCCTGGCAATAGCGTGCTATGATAAGTTGTGAAAAGTGGAAAACAATTAGGGAGGGCAGGTGGACTGGTTAGTGCGCATGTTTCCAAAGATATCTCTGCTACCAGGAAGCACAGACGTCTTCTGTGACCGTGAATCAGCTCGGAAACAGGTATTGATCTGATCAGAGCTTATTAGTGATGATAACCTTAAGCTGCAAAATCCTCCCTTCGTGTGCACTGCAGCGATAATTCCCAACTTAAGCATTCCTTGCTCCTTTGCTCTCTTCTCCATAGTTGGGTTTGTCCGGGATGAACAGGCCCCGGAGTAATTATTGAGTCTTGGTAGAGCGTTCCCACATGGTTAGCTAAATGGTGGCTTCATCCTGTGTACCATTCATCTCTGTGTCCCCTCCTTTTAGCAGTGACAGCTCAAAAGAGCCGACTGTGCCACAACAATGCTGTGATTGGTGCTCTTTAGGAGGGGTTTGGAGATGAGGGGGGGTGGGGATGAAGGGGGGTGGGGGTGTCTCTCCCCGCCAATCCTCATCATTCAGCAGGCAGGTGGACCACAAAGTCCCTTGATTCTTTTGTTAGGTCCTATGATTAAAAAAAAGATGTCCATGCTCCTTGGTTGGATAAATCCTGTCGTCATGGGATAATTTGCTAATAAAAAAAATAAATAAATAACAGGGTGGGGGAGCTAAAGGACTGGTTATTTGCACATGAGAAAAAGAATAGTAAAAGTTTCTGGTTGGTTGGACGTTTATGATATGAGTGCTGCCGATCAAGGGAAGGAGAGGGAGCGAGTGTAAATAATAGGATGGGAATTGAAAAAGCGGGCTCAGTTTAGAAGATTGTCAGTGAACGCCGCTTCGACTGCAGAGCCTCTGCAAAGCATGTTATTAAGTGGGCGAGTTGGGATGCTTTAATGGGCGTGCTTAAAAGGGTGAGAGAGTGAGGGTCTCAGAAGGCAAACAAGTTAAGCCTTAAAGGGCAACAAATGTTAGGCTTTCGTGTAGGTTACTGCAGAAATCCCCAAGCAAATGGAGAGCGTGGCTAAAGTGTTTAAAGAAGAAAAGGAGCACTTGACTACACTGAAAAAAAAGGAAAAAAATCTTCAGATGGGCAGAGAAGGTTGAATGATACAGAGAGATGGGTGAGGAGGGGGGGGCTGATAGAGGAAGAGTGAGGGGCCTCCTTCTTTTTAGGCAGCCATTTAAATGATCAACAGTAAATAGAGGGGAATGTCATCTGACAGAAATAAAGTTCCCGTTAACAGCAGGGATGGAAAGTAATTTACAGATACGCTGTCCCCGCCATCTTTGTGCCTCCCAGATAAGGTTTCATTTCAGAAACGGATAGGAGACATTTTCACTTACGGGCCCCCATTCTGGGACACCTGTGATAACAGCTTGTGGACCCCTAATTGAAAATGGGTTTCAAAATGGATTTTCACTTTTCTTCCTCCCTCTTCTCCCCCCTCTCCATTTGCTCCCTCCCTCATGACTAACCCCCTCCTCCCTCCATCCCCACGAACACCCAGCCCCCCTTTTTTTTCTTTCCTTGGCGTTCCCTTGTCGTTGGCAGAGGGAGGCAATATTGGAAGGACAGGGAGGGAGGGAGGCTTGAAATGGAGCACTGGGAGCGAATCATCCCTCAGCCCTTGTCACAGCTATGACAGCCGCATGATCCGTCTTATTAATGAAATCATTGATCACTTGATGGGACTCATAATCAACTGTTTCTCCACTGTGTCCTGCCCCATCTCCTCCCCCTCCTCCTCCCTCCTCATGCTGTCACCTCTGCTTTCCACTTTTTTGTCCCTGCTGCTTATCCCCCCCACACACACACACAAACTCACACACACACACACACAAAAAGAACAATACCTACCATAAAGGAAAGTTATTCATGAATGCATAAATTTAATAGGAACACTCAAACACAGCCTGACTTATAACTGTTATCAGATGACTCAGCATAATCAGGAGATCTAACGGGAGGATTGATTCCTTAAATATTTTAAGTGCTGTTTTCTTGAACTGTTGTTTTTTTTTCTTTTCCTAAAAGGTGATCTGTGTCATCTGTATTTGTGCTATATGTTTTTTTTATGGGGACCAAAGAGGAAGGCAGGGGCCTCTTCATGTTATCCTGCTGGGGGCTCTGCCTGTGGGAGCTAATGAGAAAGAACTGATGGAGGGA